GCTGAAACAGCCCAGATTTCCTATTTTCAGGTTGCAACCGCAGGATTTGTGGTGACTTTCTCCTTGAACTGTGCCAGAAACGGGTCCCTGCCTCTGGGGAGCTCTGCGTGGATCAGGAGATGGCGTGCAGGCAACAGTGACCTTACTGTCCCGCCTCTCTGGGTCTGGATGAGAGCTGTAACCCTGCTGTGCTCCCCTGGGTGAGGGGAACAGCAGGCACTACTGTCTGAGAGGCTGCTTTGCTGAATATTGAGGCTGATCCATAAAGGTGATGGAACAAGTTCCACCATGGATTCATCCACAGCGTGGGTCAGGTTGGGTACATCATTCTTTTGTGGGGCTATGGAAGCCCTGGCATCACTTCCCTGGTGCAGAGGGCTCCCTGCTCCCAGTGCTGGAGGCAGAGCCTAAAGGTCCAATGCAACAATCCATTTTTCTTCCCCTTCCCGCTCAGTTGCCCAGCCTGAACAAAACAAGCCCTGCCTCCACCCGAGACAGGCTGATTACGTCTGCCGGCAGCCTAAACAGATTATCCCTCCCGCCATGCACTCGGAGCCAGGAGTCTCTCCCGGCAATGGATTCGGGCTTCCCTCAGAACATGTGGGGGTGGGTAGGCACTGGCTGTGGGGGCATCCCAGCCCACCCGGGTGTCCAGCACCCCAGCAGGGATGTGGGTGCTCTGCTGTGGGGTTGAGCCTGGACCCTGAGAGAGGATGTGGATGTTGGTACAGCTCTGCTGTTCCACCTTGTGCAGTGAGCTCCTGTAGCACTGTGGGGCTGGCACGGTGTGACTCTGCTGAGTCCTGTGTGCCTGGCTGGTTTGTGTGGGGAGAGAAGAGCTGAAGGTACCACCAAAAACACAGGAGGTGTGAAAGCTTGTCCAACAGGCAGCTGGTTGGTGTCACAGCCCACCTCCAGCCCTGTGACCTGGCACTCCATGGGCTGCCATGCTCCTGTGACCCATCCTGCCCTCTGGAAGCTGGTGCCCTGTAGCCCTGGGGGTGTGCAGTGGTTCCTGTATCACCCTGGCCTTTGGGAAGTGCTGAGTGGCTCTGCACGTCCTTCAAGCCCAGTTCCCCATCTGCTGGGGATTGTGTTCCCGGTGCTGGTGGAGCTGGTTGGGGTGGTTTGTCCATGCCTGGGCAGCATCAGCCTGACAGCTTTGTGTAAACCCAGCTGGGGCCACTTCCTTCTCTGCTTCCTCCCACCCGCCGTGCTGCCGGCACTGGGCTGGAGGCAGTGTCCTCCCCCTGGATGCTCTGCAGGGCCGAGGGGATGGAAGCAGTGGCTGGAACAGCGACCTGAGAGACAGGGGAGGTGCTGCAGGTGCCCCACAGCCCAGCCCCAGTGTCGGATCAAAGGTGGGATGGGATACCTGGACACTCCCAGAGGTGTGACAGGAAGCGGAGTGGTGACATGGGGGTGTTTCTGCCTGAGTCAGCCTCCAGCAGTCCCACGGGATCGGATGGAACTGGGCTCTGTGGGGCTGCAAACCGGCCGCACCTCTCATGCGACGGTGGGGTGAGCGTCACCTTACCCCACCTCAGCTCCATCAGCAGTTGCTCTCCATCCACTCTGCTTTCCCACAGCATTTTGTGGCTCACCCTCCAGCCAGGTACCTTCTGGTTAAAAGCAAAGGCACCCACCCAGTGCCTGAGCACTCTGTGTGGCTTCTACCTGTGGAGAAACTACTTGGAGCTGTCCTTTGGATATCACCAGAGCTGCCAGAAGGCAGACAGGGCCCTGCATGGTCAAAGGCATCCTGGGAACCCTGGGGTTGCTCTAACACCATCCCTGAATGTGAGGTTGGACAGATCTCCTTTGAAGAGGGAATTTTTTGCTCTGAGGTCTTTCTCAGTGGTGGTTGTTGCATTTTCCTCCTCTCGAGGAACTCTCCAGAGGAAGCTGAGCCAGTGGAAAGGACATGTGATTCCAGCTCCAGCCTGGTGCTCCAACACCCCCTGGACCTGCCTCCCACACTGGGTTTATTTTAAACCTTGCTTCAGCAGGACCATTCCAATGCAGGTGTGATGAGCTTATTTCAGACACTTTGTGTACTTATTCATATCCCTCTCATTTAGGCTTGTACCTATCTGGGCATTTGCTTGGTTTTAGCAGGAGCTTGTTTTGGTTTGGCTTTAAAAAGCGCTGCTGCGTGTTCATTTGTTGATGGGTGGAACCAGGCTGCCCACGCTGCCTGGCTCTAATTCATACCTTTCAGCTATTTTGGTTTCAATATCTGGAGTTGGATGCTTCTGCCAAAATAAGTGTAGCCCACTGGTGTTTTTTTATGATGCTGGTACAGAAATGAGCATGATCCGTATTAAGGGTGTGTATTTCAGGTGCTTGGTGTTTATTTACAGACAGTTTGAGCTAAAATTGGAATGGCTGAGGGCAAAATAATGTCTGCTGGGGGATGTGAGCCAGGCTGAGGTAGGGCAGGACTTCATGCCTGTAATACTGTGTTAAGGCTGCTGGCTCTGGTGATGATGGTCCTGTTGGTTTCGTGGTTACTTTGTCCCTGGTATGGCACTGGGACCTGCCTGCTGCCTGTCATGCAGGCCGGATGTTGTGGGGTGCTTGGAGTGGCTGCAGTGCTGTGGCTTGTGTCAGGGAGAGTTTTTGCTCATGGAGCTTTGCTGGGTTGAGCACTTGGTCTTGGTCAGGAACTGTGCAGGGCCACAGAGGGGAAAACTGGGGGATGGAGGAGGGCTGAGCTTGGCTCAGCTCTGCTGTTCCGGAGCATCACCCGGGTGCTGCCTTGCTGGAGCGGTGCCAAGCGCTGGGGACGTCACATGCTGTTGTCACTGTCATTCTCTTGTTCCTGCATGGTGGAGGCCACTCCCAAGATCTTCCCATGCCCCAGCTGCTCAGCACCCACCCCAAGTTCTCTCACGGGAATTTGGGGACCCCGTTTCCTGTCGCAGTGACCCATTGAAGAGACTCTGATGGGTCATCGTCATCAGTCATTTGCAATTTTGCTTTACCCCTGTAAAACACAGGAGAAATTTGAGATGTTTGGCTCTTCCCAGGCCACGCGGGTGGCCGTGGCCACATCCCAGCATGGTGAGCATTGGGATCCCCTGCTCTGGAGACTTTCCATCCAAGTCCTCCCATCATCGCGTGGGCACGGATGCGTCACGGGCGGCTTTGGGTGGGGGCGCGGGGCGGGGTGTGCCGGGGGAGTGGCAGAGCCTGGCTCACCTGCGGGGCGCTGCCAGCGTGGGCGGCACCGAGACGGGCACAGAGCCGGGCACGGAGCGGTGCTGGGCAGCTGGAGGTGGCATGGGGGCCATGGGCGAGCAGGGCACCAGCATCCAGGTGAGCTGGGCAGGGGTGACAGGGGGCTCCGAGCCCTTTGCCAAACCCAGGGAGGGTTGTGGTGCACACAGGTGCCTTTCTGCGCCCCCAGTGTTGTCTGGGAATAGGTGTAGGGGTGCTCTGGGCCCCCCTAACTCCCCCAAATTGTATCCAAATCCCAGTGCTTCATTTTCATTGGTTGAAATCCCATTTAAAGGGGGAAGGAAGGAAGGTCTTCTCAAATCATGTTTTCCCAGCTGCTGGGAGAGCAGCACCTCAAGCTGGTATGTCGTATTGTGGAGGGGATAAGAGATTTTGTTATTTCTTTTCACTTTATAAACAGTAAAAGGTCTCCTCCGGCGTGTTTCCAGTTTGCTTACTCAGTGCTTCATGCATTTGACAGTTTCTGGTGCATAGGCAGTTTCTTCTATTGTTTGCAGGGATTTTTCCAGAGGGGAAACTTTTTTTTAACATTTCAAAACCACAGAAACTGGCAGGAGGAATCATGGGGAGGTACTGAATTGGAAACAGTTTTAAACTTTAAGGAACAGAAAAGAATGAAAGCAACAAGATTAACTGAATCAGTTAGAGGAGAGTTTGGAGTGTGTGTCCTTGTGACTTTTTGGCTGGGCCAGGATAGACGTGCATGGATGTTCCATGGTGGAAAACAGTGTTCCCAGACCCAGGGTCTCCTGGAGCTGAATCTGCTCTGGGTTTCCTCCCTCCTGGTCTGTCTTGGTATCTGTGGAGCCGCCTTGCTGGTGTGGCAATGCCTTGCCACTCTTGCAGCAGGCTTTGGCCCCAGCCCTTGCCAGGTGTTGCTCATCGTTTACAGCTTGTCAAGGCAGCAGGAGCGGTGCCCGCAGGACTTTGCGTGGGAGGACGTGCCCGGTGCCCATCCCCATCTCAGCGCTTGCCATGCAGTGGGTCAGCTTCACCCTGGCCATTTCTGCATCCAAGCCACCAGTGGAAAGTGCCTGGATATTATTTTTCCCACTGACATACGGCAGTGCCGCAAGGTTCTTTCCGAGTATTCTTTCCCTCTCTCTTCCCGGCTGGCTGAATGAGCTGTTTTCCCCCCTCCTGGCTCTGACCTTCCTGTGTGCTCGGCCGTGGGCTGCTGGATGCTGCTGGCGGGGGGAGAGGGCTGGCAGGGGCTGCCCCTGCAGGGAAGCAGGAGTTGGATGTGCACGGCACGGGAAGCGGCTGGGAGCTGGAGAACTGCCAGCTCCGGGTAGTTTTTCCTCTCTTAATTAACGAACGGGAAACATCAAGCTCTCCTTTGGAGTGTGTTTTTGCTTTGGAGTAGAGGCACGCTGCCGATGGCAACGGGAAGAGCCGTCTGTGGGGATGGGCTCTGCCACTCGGCAGTACCCAGGAGGTTGGTGCTCTGGGCACGGTGCCATGCAGGAGCAGCTGTGTTTGGAGTTTGTGGCTGGGGTTCTGCCTCCTCCCGAGTCCTCATCTCAGTCCCGTTGGCACACAGTGTGTGTCACACCACGGGTTGCCATCAGACACCACGTTCCTTGCACTGGGAAGGCTGAGTTTGCCTGCGTGCAGGAGGCTGAGCTCACACAGCTGCCTTCGTGCTGGGGCTGCTGCAGTTTCCCGTGGTCCCTGACCATCGATTCCCTGTGGTGCTGATCTATGTTGAGCCATTTTCGGCTGTGCATGAGTGTTTTTCTGCTGTTTCTTTGCAGGCCAAACCCATTTATGGTGGCTGGCTGCTGCTGGCCCCAGAAGGAACGGACTTTGACAACCCCGTCCATCGCTCTCGGGTAAGTGAAGCTGAGACATCCCCTCTGTGGGGTGTGGCAGGAGGAACAGGAGGGGCTGTCCCGGCCCATGGGGGTGGCTGTGACCCTGGGAGTGCCAAAGACACCTCCATGCACCCATCCCTTTGTGCAAACCAGGAAGCTAGGAGATGTTTCTGGCAGCAAGGCTGGAATGCCTTCTCTGGGATGCAAGGTCTCCCATGCTGGGCAGCAGCCTGGGGCACTGCAGGTGTGGGTCAAGCTCAATTCTATTGCTTGTTGCTTTTTGATGTTTTGATGCTTCTCTGGTTTGCCTGACACGTGCCATGCTGCCAGGAAGATGCTCAGGCCAGTGGGGTGTGGGCTGTGTGACTCTGAGCTGTGCTGTGACCCAGTTTCCCTTTGGGGCTTGGAAACAGCTACTTTATTTTCTGTAGCGGATCTTGAGTGTGCCCAGAGCTCTAGAGGGAGGCTGCATGCTGTCCCCTAGTGTGGATATGCCAATGTCAGGCAGGTCCTGCAGCAAGGAAGGAACTGAGAGGTGGTTCCCATTTACTATAACCCTGCAGAGCTCTGAAGCCAAATGCTGGAAGCAGGGACCTGCAGACAGAGCAGGACACCCTCAGCTCCTTCCCAAATGGGTTTTCTCATGCCTGGCAGAAACAGCAGCATCCTGTGGGGTCGGAGCATCCCCCACTTCCCTGTCCTGGGGGGTGTGAGGCTCAGAAGAATGTGGCGAGGCTGATGTCCTTTCTCACTGCTGGCTTGTGACGAAGACTTCCAGCTTGTCCCCAAGCTTGTCTTGCAGGGAGCTTGCTGCTGAGGCTGCCAGGATGGGGCTGTCTTGTGCGTGGGAGGGATGGCAATGGTCCGTGAACCCTCTGTCATGCAGCCAAAATGCTCTGGGAGCTGTTTGTAATAAAAAAATTGCTCCCGAATGAGCAAGAATTGGGTTCTGAGTTCAGCCTGGGGTATATGGGTCATTATTTGGAGTCATAGGCTTACTGGCCTGACATAAAGGGGACATGGGACCAGGGTCTCTCCGGAACACAAGCTGCCTGCTAAGCTGGGGCTTGTGGAGGTCCACAAGGTCCTCTGTAGTTCTGCTTGTTCCTGAGCACCCTGGACTTTGCCCAAAGGGCTGAGAAAAGTGAGATAAGAATTGCTGCACTGGGGCTATGAATCCAAGACTTCTTTATTTCAGCCTGCTCAACCAGTTTTTGCTCTTGGCTGAAAACAACCTGGCACACACGAAAAAAAAAAAGGCAGTTTTCCAGCCAGATCAGTTCTCCAATCTGATTTGCTGTGCAGCTGCAGAGGCAGCGTGCTGCCAGGATTGCCTGGGCAGTGCCATGCCAGAAGTGCAGCCACCATCCAAACTGAGCTCATGTGCTGCCGGGGGACATCTGACATGGCATCCTGTCACCCTCCAGCACTGGATGCTGGAATAGGTGATGCAGGATGAAGCTGAGGGCACAGAACATTTAGTTTGGGGATCCTTCTGGTGTTCCCAGCATTTGTGGCATGAACCTGAATCATGAGAAGTTTAGTTTGGATATTAGGAAAAGGTTCTTCCCCCAGAGGGTGGTCAGGCACTGAACAGGCTCCCCAGGGAATGGTCAAGGGCCCAAAGCTGCCAGAACTCAAGGCAGTCAGCATTGGGCAATGTGGGCTGGTGCACACAGACCTTTGGCAGAGCCCTGCTAGCTGATGTGCAGCTCCAGTGCTCCCAGCAAGGCCCAGGGACTCGTGGGCATTGCCGTGACCCACCTCAATGTCTTCTCTTGCAGAAATGGCAACGTCGGTTCTTCATCCTCTACGAGCACGGGCTGCTGCGCTATGCCCTCGACGAGATGGTGAGTGCTGCCCGGCTGTGTCCAGGCTCTGGGGATCATCTGGGTTATCTGCTGCCCTTGGAGTGCTCTGCCAAGCTGAAGGAGAGTTGTGCTTGCTGGGTTTGACTCTGTGCCAGGCTGGGTTTGTGTGGGAGCTCAGTGGACACTCTGCAGAGGACGTTGGGTGTTTCGGAGGCGTGCGAGTGCTGCCTGGCACGGGATTCATCAGTTGCTGACAGATCCCACACTGGCAGGAAGTGCTGGAGGGGGTCCCCAAGGTTGTTCTCCCTGCTTTCAGCCCTTTCTCCTGGTGCCAGCTGGATTTTGGTTGTGGTGAATCACCTTGGCAGTGTCCGAGAAGGAGGCCCTGCCTAGCGATGCCTGTGGAAAGTAGGTCAGCTGGAACGCCTTCCCACTGCTGCCTGCCCTGGAGCTGCAGCTTGTCACCAGCACTGTTCCCATCCATGAAACAGGATCAAAGGAAGGGAAACCCATCCACTGTGAGCTGCAAATTGGGGCTGAAGAGTCCAGTAGGTCAATCCCAGGAGCACCCAGGACTGCTGATCTATCCTGCTGGCTACAGAAAGCCTGTGGGAGAGTGCCCAAGGCTGGCACAGTAGACACCCATGTGCTGGGATCTGCGTGGGCAGGAGGCTCAGGAAGCCAGCTGGAGAGAGCACACCTGTGGGACAGGGACGCATCGGGACCTGTGTCTGTGTCAGGGAGGCTCCCTGTGAGGTCAGTGTGCCTTGGTCTTCCTCCAGTGCCTCCTGTGAGGGCACCGTGGAATGAGGAGGCACGGTGAGTGTGGCTCAGATTTCATGCTGTGTTTGTTTGTATTTTTACTTGGGCTTGGTCCAAGTGCCCTAAATAATTTAAATGTCTTTGGTAGGAGCAGTGGAGGCTTTAATACATTTTCAGTGTCAGCAGCCTGGCTCTGCACTGGGCTGGTGTTTCCTGCCCTACACTGGCAGAAGGGTGCTTTTTGTCTGGGTGGAGCAGGGAGATTCCCTAGTCTGAGGTAAAGGTGCAAGGATGCTGGGAAACACAGGCTGGAATATTTTTTGCTGTTTTGCATCCTGAGGAGGTTGACCTGCCACAGGGGCCAGAGAGCACCCAGAGGACAGCAGGAGCATCCCACAGTTCTCCAGGCACCTGTTGGGCTTTTTCTCCTTGAGAAGGGAGAAAGTGGAAAAATACAAACAGAAAGGGAAAGTGCACATGTGCAACATGGGATGGTGTTCCAGGCACTGTGACACCACTGTGCTGGCTCCTGGACTCACTGCCCCATGGCCATGGGTCCCAGGAGGGTCTGGCCTTTCATAGTCATGGATAGGGAAGTCTGTCATGGATCCTTCCTCCTCACTGGGATTTGACACATGTTATTAAAATACTCTCCTGACCTTTCCACCCCTCCAGCTGTGCCGGCTCCTTGCCCTGTCCCCATCACCTCTGTGGCCTGGAGAGGAGTAACAGGGCTGGGGCCTCACCCAGGGTGTGCCAGCAGAGACACTGTTTTTTCCATGAGGGATCCACTTTGCAGTTCACTCAGGGATGATCTCCCCTCAGTGTGCCCCAGTTTCTGTGCAGGAGCTGGGTGGGGGTCTCGTGGGAGCCTCAGTGCGGAGCAGCCTCTGGAGCATGCGGGAGCTGGGCGGCAGCTGGCCAGAGACCTCCCAGGCAGTTGCAGGCTGGGATTGAATGGCTCTGCTTGAACCTTTCAGACATTAAATTTTGTGGGTTTGGCAATTTCTGCTCTTATTAAAAGTGGAATTGGAGGGAGGGGTGAGCCTGGGAGGGGAGTCCTGGGCTGGTGATGCTGAGGAGACATTCCTGTGCTCTTGGGTCCCAGCAGGTTGGAGAGCAGTGGGGTGTGGAGGAGCAGCTCAAAGCCCAACCCCAGGTTGGAGAGACCTCAGGGAGTCCCCAGAGATCATGGTGCTGTGGTTCTCAGAGGTGATGGGATAGGGCAGCATTGGGAACAGCCTTTTGCCACAGGGTGGTCAAGTTTGGTGTTGGATTTGGAGCATTTTGGGCATGGAAGGTGGGGCAAGCAGGCACCAGCTGCTCTGTTGGCATCCAGCTCTTGCCTGAGACCTGCCCAGAGCTGATCCTGAATCTGTACTCCATGCTTGGTCACCTTTCTGTGTGTCCATCATTCTGTCTGTCCTCTCTCTACCATAGTTCCAGTCTGAAAACAAAATTAGTTCTGCATGATGGCTGTGATGGGGAGAATTTGCACAGGCTATGGACCTTCATCCCTTCTGACGAGGCTGAGCTATCAGACTCTCTCCCTGGGGTCTCCCTCTTCCAGGCTGGGTGCAGTTGGTGGCACCCAGATCCAGCCTGGCCACGGGGAATGCCCAGCAGATCCCACCCCCTTCCCCTCTGCAGGGACTGTGCCAGCAGCTGTTCCCAGCTCTGCCGAGCCCTGGCTAAGCCGAGCCTGCTCAGACGTGCAGAAATTCCTGCCTCCCAACTGTGGGTGGATGTGGGGGTTGTGGGATCACTTGGGGTTGCCTTCCCATGCTGAACATCCACAATTGCACCTCAAAAGTGGCTTGCTCTTACTGTTTGATAAACCTTTGTGCTGAGACTGATGATGACAGAGGCTGATGCTTCTTTGCAGCAGCTGGAGGATGACAAAGCCACTCTTACTGAAGGAAAGCAGGAAAGAACAGGCTTGGGATTGAGCTGCTGTGTTGTGAGTGTCCAAGGACAAGTTTCAGTTCTCCTGGTAAAACACCCTGTGGTCTCCAGTGAAACCACTACCGTGGGAGAGCAGCCCGGCACTGCGGTGCTGGGGTGGTCCAGGAGGTTTTGGTTGGGATATGGGAGCTGCCACAAGAATAGTGCCGGGCTCAGGGGCCAGAGCCAGTGAGTGGCAAGTGCAGAGCTTTTGCCTCCTTTTGTTTTGATTGCTGTGATCTATAATTAGCGGCCGAGTTCTCTATAAATAGAGCCCGTCTGCGTGGGAATGGAAAGGCAGGAGGGGGTTTGTAGGGCTGGAGAGCGCTGCCATGTCCCTCCCTGGGCCTGCAGGTGGGCCCCTGGCCACAAGCACTGCCTGGGGGTGGATCCAGCCCCGTGGCTGGGGCAGGTCAGAGGAGTGGGTCTGGATCTCCAGGCCAGCTTCTTAATGAGTCACTGCATGTCCAGGGCCAGGCCAGTGCCTCAGTTTATCCCTGTGCTACTTCTCTTAAGCTGGGATTTATACTAGGTTGGCATTTTGCATCCTCCCTGGAGGTGTTCTTGTGTCACAACAGGCTTCCTTTTGGTAGGTGAGACTATTAATTTAGAGGTTTTTTTTGCTTTGTGCATATGCTGGTTTGAAAACAGGACAAAATTCAGGCCTGTCTGGGAGCATCTCAAACTCGCTGGTGCTGTGGATGAGAGGCAAGGTGAGAGCATCTTCTGGATGGGCTTTTAGTTTCCCTGCAGGGATTCAGGAGGAGCATCCCTGGGCATGACATACTCATTTTGCAACAAACTGACCTCAGTCAGTGTCTGGCACTTCCCAGTGCCAGATGGTGATGAAATGTGTGAGCCCTATCTCTACTCTGCCCCTTACTTGCTGGAGTCAAATTGTTTCGTGGAATTGGGAAGGGATCTAGGAGGATGCTAGAGCCAGTAGTCAGCCACCTCAATACCAGAGTTTGCTGGGGTTGAGTGGCTGTGTCCTCCATGGTGGTGTTGCAGACCTTTCTCAAGCTCACAGCTGGGTGGTCCTGCTCCTAAATCAGGAACTCAGATGGATCATAATGTCATTAACCTTTGTACAATGGAGCAGACATCCCTGCTCCAGCCTGTGATGGCAGGGAGGGAGGTCCAAAGGGAGCCAGGAGCTGATGGGACTGGGATGGGATGAAGAGCGAGGCCAGCCTGGCATCTGGGAATGGTTAGGGGAGCACTGGGACCCCTGGGCTAGGTGTATAAATAGAAGAGAGGCCAGCCCAGAGGTGGGAGGTCTGGCACTAAACAGCAGGGCTGTGGGGTCACATCTGGAGACCTGCTCTGCCCCAGGCCCCTCTCCTGGCCACAGAAACCTAAGAAACTGATAAATGGGTAAAAAAGGAGAATGGTGTAAGCATTGGTGGCAGCTGGAGGGGGATCAGAGGAAGGGATGCATGCTTGCTGATTCTGTGATCCACAGACCTGTGTAATTATTGTTTCCTGATTCACCCCCCCTCCAAAAACCTCTTTATGTGGAGAAAAGGGGCATTTTAAAATGTCACTGTCAGCAGAGCTGTGCCGCGTTAATTTTCGTTGTAGTTACCTCCTTTGTCATCTGTATTGTTTTAAGAAGCCAAGAACCCGTGTGTGTGTTTTTTTCCTCCTTTTTAGATCAAAGCAGTTTACTTCAGTTTTGGCACAGAATTGAAATTCATTGGCAGGGATTAAAAACGAACCTTAAAACATCCTGGCCTCTCTGTCCTTGCTTTTTCCACACATTTTGCCATTAGTGTTTCCAAGCTCTCCCTGCCCCCTCCTCCGTGGGAGCACCAGGCTTTACAAACCCCATCTCCTCATTCCCAGTGGTTTCCCCCCATGGACACAATTTTGCCAGTGCCTCTGTTTGCCAGATCAAGACTTTCAGTTTCTGTTTAGCATAAAAAGCTTTTGGCTTGAATCAAAGCATGTTTGAAATTTAAAGTAAGCAGGGACAGGAAGGCTGGGTGGGAGTGGCTGTGTGCGACTCAGATGGACAGGGACCCCATCCCAGTTTTTTTTCCAAGACTGGATGTAGTCAAGTCAGGGTGGACAATGATCTGTGAGGAGGTTTTATGTGGGATGTTTGGTGTGTATCTCATAGAAGATGGAGTAGCAATAAGGAAATTATGGGAAAATTTGGAAGCAGAGATCCTTTGTCCTTCAGAGAAACTGGGCAGGAAAGGGACACCTGAAATCAGGGTGCAAGGGAGAGGGGACACATACATCCTTGTGACTGCTCTAGAGATGCAGAAACAGCATAAGTGCTGGTGACTCTCAACAGAGATCAGAGATCTTTGATGAATTTGTTG